GAACCTGAAGAGTGGTCATCTTCGGGGTCGGGGAGAAGGTCTGGAAGAAGTCAACTCCCTCTCGCTGTCTGAAGCCTCGTGCAACGTAACGCGCCTTGAAGACAGGCGGAGAACCCGGCGGCCGCTTCACCCTGAAAATCCACATGCCACTGACGATGTTCGCCCCAGGTGGGGGAACCTCGTCTACGTAGGTGCCTGTGGACTTCCAGGAAGCCATCTCTGCGTCCATGGCTGTCTGCCACTGAGAGGAGTAGGGACCCTCCATCGCCTCTGCGTAAGAGCGTGGGGTCGGGATGTCTAGTGCATCCGGGTCTCCCTCAGGGGCAATCAGCATGGACACAAGATGAGGTAAAGCATCGGCAAAGCACTCAAACTCCTCCTGTCTGTCCTCAAGGACGTCCGTGCCAAGAGTACACTCACCCCCGACGGACGGAGGACAGACAGACTCAGACTCAGCAACAAGGCTAGCGGCGTAGTCTAGACGACAGGCGGCAGCAAAGTCAACAAGCTCAGCGACTAGAGCAGACGCAGCAGAGGACTCAAAGGAAGGGTCAGTGGCAACAGTGGCGAGGAGACGCGTGACAGTAGGACTGGCAGTACGGAGAGAGTCAGACTCCGGGTCAGCAAGAGCAGGAAGAGAGGACGCTGGAGGAGACGGCAGAGGGACACGCTGTGGAGCAGTGGAAGGACGCAGGGTCATATAGTGAGTGCCAAGGACAGGAGGAGGACGCTGACGCGGAGCACGACGACCAGCGCGGACAGGCGACTCTGGACGCGACTCAGACGACTCTGGACGAGACTCAGGCGACGGAGGACGAGACTCAGGCTCACGACGCTCCGTAAAACCTCCCGTCGGCTCAGCGCAAGGAGAAGGACCAGGCAGTGGAGAGGCTGGCTGTAACTGTGACTGCGACTGGACAGGCGGTGGACTCAGTAGGGGAGGAGTAGGACCAGGAGAGGGCGGGAGTCCAAGAACCTGCTGAAGGAGCGGAACGTAGTACGGCCGCGGCCGCTCAGCACCTCCTGAACCAGCAGAGACAGCACCAGTACCCTCAGCCCCAGGGTCTCCAGCTACAACTCCCGCAGCACCACCAGCAACCCCAGCAGCTCCAGGACCTCCAGCACGAGCACCTCCAGAAGCACCAGCAGCACCTCCAGCACCAGCAGCGTCTCCAGCAGCTCCAGCACCAGCAGCACCTCCAGCAGCACCACCAGCAGCTCCTGCGCCAGCAGCACCAGCACCTCCAGCACCTCCAGCACCAGCAGCGTCTCCAGCAGCTCCAGCACCAGCAGCACCTCCAGCAGCACCACCAGCAGCTCCTGCGCCAGTAGCACCAGCTCCAGGGTCCGCAGCACCAGCAGCGGCTCCAGCTCCAGGGTCCTCAGCACCAGCAGCAGCTCCAACTCCAGGGTCCTCAGCACCAGCAGTAGCTCCAACTCCAGGGTCCGCGGCACCAGCAGCAGCTCCAGCTCCAGGGTCCAAAACACCAGCAGCGCCACTCCGTAGACTGCAGCGCCGAGCGTACCACTCTCGGAGCCGCTGGGGAGAGGGCGGCTCCCGCCTAGGCGGGGAACCACGAACACCAGCTCCAGCAGCACCCCTAGCCCCAGAAGCGCCCCTCCTGAGGCTGCAGTACCGCGAGTACCACTCACGCAGCTGCTGTGAAGAGGGAGCGCCTCCAGGCGCCGCACGGTCAATCGCAGCACCCCCAGGCTCAGTACCATTAGACGTAGCACTCTCAGGCTCAGCACCCTCAGGCTCAGCACCCCCAGGCTCCGCACCCCCAGGCTCCGCACCCCCAGGCTCCGTACCCGCAGGCTCAGCACCCCCAGACTCAGCAACCTCAGGCTCAGCACCCCCAGGCTCCGCACCCCCAGGCTCCGCACGCTCAGGCTCAGCACCCCTAGCAGGACGAGAGTCGACAGCTACCTCGACAGGCTCAACCGGGTCTACCTGGGACACACCTGAGGGAGCGGCACCCTGAGGGGGGAGGGGGTCTACCACAGCAGCACCTGGTGCGAGGAAGAGAGGCGGGGGGGGGAGCGGGGCAGTGCGGTAGGGGAAGAGGCGGTAGTAGGGGACCGACTCGTCGAACGTGACGTCCTGTGAAGGCAGGACACGGCGCGAGGTGGCGTGGTAAAACTGCCAACCAGACGCGTCCGGGACAAAGCCAAGGAAGACACAAGGAACAGCGCGGGAGGAGAGCTTGTCCGCGGACGTATCGCGAACAAAAGCTCGAGATCCCCAGACCCGGAAACGAGACGCATCGCCAACCTCTCCCGTCCAACGCAGAGTGTCGGCGAAGTCTCCGGAACGGAGACACGGGGCCAGAGGTTGAGCTGACGCGCAGCGTATCGGACCGCAAACGGCCACAGAAAGTGGGGGGCAGCCGCATGGATCAAGGAGGTACAAGCGACCTCCATGACCAGGCCAATGCGGCGCTCAGCAACCCCATTCTGCTGTGGAGAGGCCGGAAGCGTGAACGACTGCTCAATGCCCTGCCCCTGACAGTAGGCCCTCAAGAGGTCGGAGGAAAACTCCCCACCTCTGTCAGAGTGCAGACGCAGGACAGGAAAGTCCGAGTGGAACCTCTCGCTGAGCTGGAGACGGGCAGCGCGGATCCAAGGGATCAAAACATCAGGGACTTCACCCTTGGTGCGCAAGGGGAAGACCGTGGTGTAGCGCGAGTAGTCGTCAACAACTATCAAGAAGTACCTCTCGTGACCCTGTCCACGAACGCGGGCTGGGCCCCACACGTCCATGTGGAGCGTCTGCAGGGGAGCAGTCGTCGGGGGAAACGAGGAGGAGTGAGGAGCGGCGCGCTGCCGCCCCTCGACACAGGGAAGGCAAGGAGGAGCAGGCGAGGGTGGGAGGGGGGGAAGAACCCTGGGAAGACCACAGACAAGGTACCGGGAGTGCATGCCACGAAGGCGCTGCACTGACGGGTGACCAAGGCGGTGGTGCCAGAGGACGGTCTCGTGCGCCAGGGAGCGACACGAGCAGGGGGCCGACAGCTGACCTGGCGCAGACGCAGACGCAGCTACCTGAGGGGACTCAGTGGTCAGTGTGTACAGGTCCGACCCCGGCTGCCGAGTGAAGGTGGCCAGGTGGCGACCCGTCCGAGCACACGTGCAGTGTGTCACGCGCTCGTAGGCAGGGGTGAACTGGTGGACACCCCCGTCCTGGAGCGCACTACCCGCCACCAAGTTCGTAGAGAACGAGGGGAGGTAGAGACCTGACAGTGTGCCCGACGGGACCGCAGGACAAGGGAGAACAGTGGAGGAGGTCGCAATGACCGGACCCCCAGAGGGGTCAGCGAGGGAGACTGCAACCCGGCCGAGCAAGCTGCTCAAGGGCAGTGCGGTCACGAAAGAAACAGCGGGAAGCACCTGAGTCCAGTGTGAAGGTGTGCAGTGCCTCAGTAGACGCAGTACCAGAGGGCGCAGACTCACGAGCACCTAGAGCAGCAGCCTCACCAGCACCTAGAGCAGCAGCCTCACCAGTACCTAGAGCAGCAGACTGGATACCGGGGTCAGGCGGCACACACAGGTGACAGGCACCCGCAGCACTAGTAGACAATGCATACATGGCAGTGAGGATAGCATCATAGTCAGGAGCAAAGATATCTACCCTCTGCCTAAGTAGCTCCACTCAGTCGGGGAGGTCAGCGTCGTCGCCAAACTCTGTAGGCCAAGCGTCGCTCAGACGGGCGAAGCAGTGGGACTCTGTGTGACCACGCGTCCCGCAAGGCTGACCAGTCCGGGCACCCGTGCTAATAACGTACGGGCAGCGAGCAGTACTCAGCGACCCTCTACTCTGAGCGTACCACTCACGAAGCTGCTGGGGCGAAAGAGGCTCGCGCGGACGACGCTGCTGCTGCACCGGGCCACTACAAGAAGCTCCCGAACTACCCACTCCAGGACGACTCCCACTACGGCCACCCCGACAACCCCAACTGGCGTACCACTCACGAAGCTGCTGGGGCGTGAGGGACACACGCGGACGGCCGTGGAGCTGCATCTGGCCACGCCAGGAGCAGCAGTAGCAGCAGTAGCGGCAGTAACAGCAGTAGCAGCAGGAGCAGTAAAAGCAGTAGCAGTAGTAGCAGTAGGAGCAGTAAAAGCAGTAGCAGCAGTAGCAGCGGTAGCAGCGCGGGCAGGGCAGTGCTCACCAGTGGTGGGAAGGGCAGGCGCAGGACGGCGGCGACAGCGGGGCCGCTACAGATGTAGGGCGGGGCCGGGCCGCGGCAGGGAGCTTCGCGGCATCTGCTGCAGGGCGGGGCCAAGCCGCGACGGCAGCTGCTCCAGGGGCCAGGGTCGGCTCCTGCAGTGGCGGCTGCTCCAGGTGACCAGGGGCGGCTGCTGCAGGGGCGGCTGCTCCAGGGTCCAGGGGCGGCTGTAGGTGCGGCTGCTCCAGGGGCCAGGGGCGGCTGCTGCAGTGGCGGCTGCTCCAGGGGCCAGGGGCGGCCGTCCCAAGGGCGACGCGACGGGCTGGGGCTGTCACGACACTTATTTAACTCGTAACCGGGTTTAACTAGGGGCCTAGGCTTAGTAGCCTAGGCCAAGTGGGTGTCGAGGAGTTCGTGCCAAGTGGGTGTCAAGGAGAATCGAGAATGGATGAGTTCACTATAGCACACAAGGTACATATAGCAAACTAACAAATGTGAAAGAGGTGCACCACCATACAAGGGAATTGCACTATACAACAGCTACACTACAGGCAGATTACTAAATAGATATAAATATATTTTGACACAACCCCTATCTGTCTGAAGTGCATAACCATGTGCAGAGTCCCTCTTGAAGGGGTACACCTGTAAAATCCCATTACAGGGCGTGGGAACACCAGCAAGGGGCCCCCTCTGAAGCTGACAAGCAGCAACCACCAAGCAGCAGCTGAACCACCGCGGTGGAACAGGTGCCTGGCTGCGGTTGAACGCCCCGCAGCAGGTGCACAGTGTGCGAGGAGCACAGGTACGGGTAGCGGGTTCGGGTAACAACTAGGTGCTGTACGGGACGGGCTGCACGGGGGTGACGGGCAGCACGAGACCGGGAGCACAGACCGGGTGGGGTACGGGCGAGAACTGGCAGCACGGGTGGGGCACGAATGGGTACGGACAGCACGGGTGGGGCACGGGCAGAACGGGGCAGGACACCGGCTGAACGGGGCAACACGGGCACAACGGGGCAACACGGACAGAACGGGGCAACACGGGCACAACAGGGCAGCAAGGGCAGAACGGGCAGCACGGGCAGAACGGGGCAGGACACAGGATGAATGGGGCAACACGGCACGGGAACGGGCACGACACAGGCAGAACTGAGCAGGACACAGGCTGAACGGGGCAACACGGGCACAACGGGGCAGCACGGGCAGAACGGGCAGCACAGGCAGAACGGGGTAGGACACGGGCTGAATGGGGCAACACGACACGGGAAAGGGCACGACACAGGTACAACACGGGCAGAACGGGGCAACACGAGCAAAACGGGGCAACACGGGCACAAAGGGGCAGCACGGGCAGAACGGGCAGCACGGGCAGAACGGGCAGCAAGGGCAGAACGGGGCCGGACACGGGCTGAACGGGGCAACACGGCACGGGAACGGGCACGACACAGGTAGAACTGGGCAGGACGCATGCTGAACGGGGCAACACGTGCAGAACGGGGCAAGACGGGCAGAACAGGGCAACAAGGGCAGAACGGGGCAACACGGGCACAACGGGGCAGCACAGGCAGAACTGGGCAGGACACGGGCTGAATGGGGCAACACGGGCAGAACGGGCTGGAACGGGCAGAATGGGGCAGCACGGCAGAACGGGGCAGCATGGGAAGCACGGGGGCAGCACAGGAAGCTCGGGGGCAGCACGTGAAGCACGGGACGCATGGGTGGAACGGGTGGGGCACGACCAGGTACGGACAGCACGGGCACGGGCACGGGGAACACGGGCGGACAGAACGGCCACAGGCACGGGGCAAGCACGGGGAACACGGGCGGACAGAACGGCCATGGGCATGGGGCAAGCACGGGGAACACGGGCGGACAGAACGGCCACGGGCACGGGGCAAGCACGGGGAACACGGGCGGGCAGCATGGGCACGGGCACGGGGAACACGGGCGGGCAACACGGGCACGGGCACGGGGCAAGCACGGGGAAGTACGGCCGATATGGGAGGTATGTGGTAGGGGATGAGAGGAGGAGGAGGAGGCGGCTGATGCTGCAGATGAACTCTCACCACTCACACCCCCTGAACCTCCCCCCCCACAGCAGCAGTGACGGAGAAAGAGAGGTGGAGGTGCAGTGGCGGTAGGTGCTGAAGCTGAATCACCCACCCCCGCAACCCCCATAGCCTCCCCCCCATGAGTCGCCACCCCTACCACTTCCCCCTCCCCCAGCCGTCCCTCATGGGCCAGCACCCCTCCGCCTCCCCCTCCTGCAGGAAACGGAGCGGGAGATAGGGGAGGGGTGAAATCTGACGGTGGAGGGCAGTTCCGACGGTAGGGGGGGGTGATCTGACAGTGGGGGCAGGTTCTGACGGTAGGGGGCGGGATGTGACGGTGGGGCAGGGACGGGGCGGGTTGCGGACGAGGTGAAGACGGATGACGGGGAACTTCTCATGGCGGCTAACCCTCCACCCCCATCCCCTCCACCTCCCCCCCACAGCGGCAGCCGCGGGAGGGGAGAGGCAAGGCAGTGCACGGGCGACGGGTTGCAGCAGCAAGCGGTGCGTGAGCGATGGAGCGCTCGCTGATGCGCTGGCGATCATCGCTGGCGTTCTGCCGCCACTCCCTTCCCCTCTTCCCTCTCTCCCCCACAGCGTTCTGCCTTCACTCCCATCCCCTCTTCCCTCTCCCCCCACAGCGTTCCGCCGCCACTCCCATCCCCTCTTCCCTCTCCCCCCTCACAGCGACCGCGGCTGCACACGCAAACAGCGGCGACGGGGGGGGGGGGGGTTGACGGACAGGGGGCGGGGGTAATGCCATGGGCAGAGCGATGGCTTGGCTAAGGAGCGGCTGGGGCGACGGTAAGCAGGGCGATGGGAAGCGGGGCGACGGGAAATGCAACGGGTGCGGGGCGATAGGGTGTAACGGGGAACGTGACAGGCTCTCTCGCATAGCTCGCCGTCACTAACGCGGCAGCAGCGGGACGTCGAGCAATGGTGTGACGGGCGGCTGTGCTTGCGCTGGCGGATGTGCTGGCGCTGGCGATGGCGGATCCGACGGCGGGTCCGTCGACTCGGATGCTGGCGGGCTCCTGGCGTGCGCGCTGGCGGCAGTTGTTGGCGCGCGCTGCTGTGAGCTTGCCACAGGCCCGCTGGCGCGTTCGCCACGTGCAAGATGCGACGGGCGGGTCTACGGGCAGCAGCGGGCGGGAATCGTGGGCCCATTAACTTAAGTCTAGGATCTTAATAGCTCAATACCATGTCACGACACTTATTTAACTCGTAACCGGGTTTAACTAGGGGCCTAGGCTTAGTAGCCTAGGCCAAGTGGGTGTCGAGGAGTTCGTGCCAAGTGGGTGTCAAGGAGAATCGAGAATGGATGAGTTCACTATAGCACACAAGGTACATATAGCAAACTAACCAATGTGAAAGAGGTGCACCACCATACAAGGGAATTGCACCATACAACAGCTACACTACAGGCAGATTACTAAATAGATATAAATATATTTTGACAGGGGCAGCCCGCAAGGGCGACGCGACGGGCTAAGGCAGCCCGCAGGGGCGATGCGACGGGCTAGGGCAGCCCGCAAGGGCGACGCGACGGGCTGGGACAGCCCGCATGGGCGACGCGACGAGCCAGAGCAGCCCGCAAGGGCAACGCGACGGGCTAAGGCAGCCCGCAGGGGCGACGCGACGGGCTAAGGCAGCCCGCAAGGGCAACGCGACGGGCTGGGGCAGCCCGCAAGGGCGACGCGACGGGCTAGGGCAGCCCGCAAGGGCGACGCGACGAGCTAGGGCAGCCCGCAAGGGCGACGCGACGGGCTAGGGCAGCCCGCAGGGGCGACGCGACGGGCTAGGGCAGCCCGCAAGGGCGACGCGACGGGCTGGGGCAGCTGCGCGTGCGGCTGTGCGGGCGGTTGCGCGTGCGGCTGACGGGCGGCGCGCGCGGCTGTCCGAGGGCGCACGACGGCGCTCGTAGGGGCACTCGACGGCGCTAGAAGGGGCGCTCGACGGCGCTAGAAGGGGCGCTCGACGGCGCAAGAAGGGGCGCTCGACGGCGCTAGTAGGGGCGCTCGACGGCGCAAGAAGGGGCGCTCGACGGCGCTAGTAGGGGCGCTCGACGGCGCTAGAAGGGGCGCTCGACGGCGCTAGAAGGGGCGCTCGACGGCGCTAGTAGGGGCGCTCGACGGCGCGGCGGAACGGTGGGCCCAAACCAACGTCGGTCCTAGGTCCTGACCTAGGCGTCAGATACCATGTTAGAATCTAGAAGTGAACGAGAATGATTGAACTAACAAGATTGGGAGTACAAGTAGGAAACCCTAGAGTAATGTACCCCCTAAAGGCTAACCCACTGTAGCCTACACAACAGTAACATATATAATGTTTGACACGATGTATGCATGCTTTTTATCATCTCAGTCAATTACATTCACTCTGACCTGAGGTCAACACTTCCGCTGCAACAAACTCAACTTACGATCAACCCTGAGATGATCCTTCGCTAAGTCCTGTTTAGGATTGTAACATCACTCGAATGGATTTACGCCCCTTAGCGTACTAGGAGCCGCTGTCCTCACGCTCTCTCGTATGCGCGTCTAGCCACGTTTGCGCCTAGCACCTAGACCGGCCGACGTCCTTCGACATGGCAGAACGTATCAACCTTGCAAGCCTCACGCAAGAGCACCAACTGCAAGAAAGCACCGAGGAAATTGCGGCGCTAACGGTAGAATGCACGTCACTGCAAAAAGACATCGAACGGGCGCAACAAGCACAATCACAAATGCAAGGAACAGCAGCACAAGGAGCACCATCCGCCGCCCAACACGAGAGTGTGCGACAACCCTTCAGCGCTGCTAGTGATGGTGTCGCAAACAACGACGTTCGCAACGAATGCGGTTGGGAGTCAACGTCGTGTCAACACATCGACGCCGATTGATGAGTCGGCACTCCCTTCAATAATGTTGCTAAAGCCGCAGCGTCCGCCTTGCTTTGACCCGAGTTAGGCGGTTCAGCCGTGGATTTTCACGATGAACGTCTTCTTCGACCCGATATGCCGCGTCGTTACTGCGAGGACCCGCCATGGATTGGTGGCGCGTCAACGTCACGAAGCCGAGCAACTACCAGACTCTACCGCCACGGGAAGGACCAACTGGACCCTGGGCGCCGTCGTATTTCGTGGAGGTAGCCCAGTATCGCACGTGGGACATGTGGTGCGCAGGTCTACGCAGGAGATTCGAGCCCATCACGACGTCAATTTCCGCGCGTCAGAAGCTCCGCACTTGGCGCCAGCTCAGTTCCGTTTAAGACTACACAAGCATATTCCTTGCGCTATGCGAGCAGGTGGGATACATGCATGAAGCTGAGCGCATCAACCGCTATATCGGTGGCCTAAAACACGAAATCGCACAAGTGATCGTGCTTCCCCGGCGTCACAGAGTTCAACGAAATTCTTGCCATGGCTAAAAAACTTGATTTTCTCCGCCGTCTGAGAACGGGGTCCTATAACTACAGCAACTGGGAACACCGGCCTCGGGGAACCAAACGAGCACGCTACGATATGCGCCATCGCCGCGAACGCTGCTGCCGCACCGTTCAAAGGGCGTTGCTTCGCTTGCAGTCGGCAGGGGGACTGTAAGAGCGAATGCCCAGAAAACGCAAATGGAAAGGAGGGAGCAGAGCAGTAGAAACAGATCAAGTAGTAGGGAAACGCTGGGAGTTAGTTGCGCACGTGCCCTCTATTGACAGGTTACACAGCTCGCCCGACCCACCGAATGACATGTCAAACTTATATGTTGCTAATTGTGTAGGCTGTAGTGGGGTAGCCTATATGGGGTACAACCCAATTAGGGTTAGCACTTGTACCCATCCTGCTGTTAGTCATTCCATTCTTGTTCGTTATTTCTGACATGGTTTCAGAGCAGGTCCTAGCCTAGGACCGGTTTCTTAGGGCCCACCGAGTAGCGCTACCCCACCCGTCGCGCCGCTGTGATCGAGCCGCCCTGCCTTGCCCTGCCCTGCGTCGCGCTGCCTGCGCACGCTCTGCCCTACTCGCGCGCCGCCCGCCGCAGCGCACACTGCTTTGCCCGTGCGCTGCCTGCTGCAGCGGGCCCTGGTGATTCGCGCGCCGCCTGCTGCAGTGCGCCCTGCCCTGCCCGCGTGACGCGCCGCGTGCCCTGCCCTGCCTGAGCACCGCCCGCCGCGTCCCCCTTCTCGCACGCCGCCCGCGCCGCGCGAGCTGCCCTGCCCGCGCATCGCGCTGCCGCAGCGCGCGCTGCCCTGCCCGCGCGCCGCTCGCACCGAGCGCCCTGCCCTGCCCGTGCGCCTCGCCGCTGCGCACCCCTGCCCTGCGCGTGCGCCGCGCCGCGCGCCCTGCCCTGCCCACGAGCCGCGCCGCCGCGCGCCCTGCCCTGCCCGCGCGCCGCGCCGCGTGCCCTGCCCTGCCCGCAAGCCGCGCCGCCGCGCGCCTTGCCCTGCTGCCCTCCCTGCCCTCCTGCGCGCCCTGCCCTGCCGCGCACCCTGCCTGAGTGCCGCGCCCTGCTCTGCTGCGTGCCTTGCCCTGCCGCGCGCCCTGTCCTGCCGCGTGCCCTGCCCTGCCGCGCGCCCTGCCCTGCCGTGCGCCGCTCGCTACTGCACTGCTGCTAGCGTGCTCACCTGCCTAGCCCTGCCTGCGTGCTGCTCTACTGCTTGCGCGCCCGACGGCTCTGCCCGCTATGGCCACTCTGAACATTCTCACCTTCGATTCGGAGGGCCGCCCGATAGAGTTCAATGCGTGGCTAGACGACTTACAGCTGTACCTGCTGACCAACTCTAAGGACGGTATTTCACTGTTTGACCTCACGTCTGGCGCCTCTCTCGCCCATGCCACCACAGCTGACAGTACGACTCGCTCACAGTGGCTTACTCGTGACGCAGGTGCTCGCTTAGCCGTTTGCAACCACCTGCCGTTAGCCGAACGCGCTCTCTTCGGACAGCATAAGACTGTGAAAGCACTGTACGACGCTGTAGTCGCTTGTTACTCCTCCCCGGCCACTGCTGCTCTAGGCTGCCTTCTCCTGTCGTACCTGTTCCCAGAGCTGTCCGACTTTGCCACAGTAGCCAACCTCGTCACTCACCTTCGTTTTAGTGACACTCGCTACCGCGCTGCACTTCCGGATGAGTTTCTCGCCAAGAACCCTCCTCCCATGTACATCACTCTCTACTTCATAGTCACCCGCCTCCATGACTCTCTTAGCGCTGTCAGGGACCTCCTTCTCGCCCTTGACCCCACAGACCTTACTGTCGACCTGCTCGACAAGCACCTCCTTGCAGCTGAGACTAGCATAGTCGCTGTAGGCGCTTCTCGTGGCACTCCTCGCACTCCCTTCTTTGAGGGGTGTTTGCCCTCCCCCCTTCTCCCCTCAGTCGCCTCTGCTGAAGCTGTTGACTACCTTCGTGCTGAGGAGGTAGGAGCTGCGTCTGCCCCTAGTGGGAGGGGCCGCAGCGGCAGGGGCAGGGGAGGCAGGAGCGGTGGGGCCGGCAGAGGTGGAGGCAGCAGTGGAGGTGGTAGCGGCGGTGGAGGGGGCGGTGGTGGCGGAGGGAGTGGTGGTTGGGGTGGAGGTGTAGGTGGCGGCGGCGGTGGCGGCAGTGGCGGTAGTGGCGGTAGTGGCGGCAGTGGTGGTAGTGGCGGCGGCAGTGGTGGCGGCAGTGGGAGTGGAGGTGGTGGCAGTGGTGGCGGCCGAGGTGGTACCAGCCAGAGGGGAGGCCTTGGCGGTGGTCAGAGGCAGCAACAGCAGCGTCAGCTTTCGCCCCAGGAACTACATGAGTGGTTTGCTCAGCGTGGGGCGTCTCGGGGTAGTGGTCCCTGCCCGTATGTCATTCGCACAGGTGACCGCACTGGTCAGACATGCGGGAGGCTCCACACCCAGTACCGCCGCTTCTCTCGTCTTACCGACGCCTTCCGCACAGAGTTTCCCGACGCGGCTGAGCTCCTACGCTAGGCAGACCTGCTCAAGCAGGGTGTAGACATCTTTGCTTTTGATTATGATGCTATCCTTTCTGCCATGTATGCATTGTCTGTTAGTGCCGAGGGTGACTGTTACCTGTGTATGCTGCCATACCCAGGTATAGAGGCTGCTGCTTTAGGTGCTAATGAGTCTGCTGCTCTAGGTACTGGTGAGTCTGCTCTCTTTGGTACTACGTTTGCTGCGGCCCTGCACACCTTCACGCTTGACTCAGGTGCTTCCCGCTGTTTCTTTCGCGACAGTACCACAGTCACACCGCTCTCTGCACCTGTTGCTGTCTCTTTGGCTGACCCCTCTGGGGGCCCAGTACTAGCACGTTCCTCCACTGTTCTGCCTTGTTCGGCGGTTCCGTCTGGCTCACTGTCAGGTCTCCACCTCCCCTCGTTCTCTACGAACTTGGTGAGCACCGCTGTCCTTCAGGATCAGTGGGTTGACACCTTCACCCCTGGAGGACAACGTGTGGCGATTTGTACGTGCTCCCGGACTGGCAGGCACCTGGCCACGTTCACCCGTCGGCCTGGGTCGAGTCTGTACATACTGACTATTGCGCCTTCTCAGGTAGTTGCGTCTGCGTCTACGTCAGGTCAGCTAGCGGCCCCCTGCTCGTGTCGTGCCCTGTCGCACCAGACTCTCCTCTGGCACCACCGCCTTGGTCACCCCTCCGTGGCACGCCTCCGTGGCATGCACTCCCGTCTCCTTGTCTCTGGTCTTCCCAGGTCTCTGCCTCCCCTCCCACCCTCGCCTGCCCCTCCCTGCCTTCCCTGTGTTGAGGGGTGGCAGCGCACCGCTCCTCACTCCTCCTCGTTCCCCCCGACGACTGCTCCCCTGCAGACTCTCCACTTGGACGTGTGGGGCCCAGCCCGCATCCGTGGACAGGGCCACGAGCGGTGCTTTCTACTGGTTGTCGACGACTATACGCGTTACACCACGTCTTCCCTTGCGCCGCAAGGGGGAGGTCCCTGATGATTTGATCCCTTGGATCCGCGCTGTTCGTCTCCAGCTCCGCGAGCGGTTCGAGACGGACCTTCCCGTCCTTCGTCTGCACTTTGACAGAGGTGGTGAGTTTTCCTCAGACCTCTTGCGGGACTTTTGTTGTGGGGAGGGCATTTGCCAGACGTTCACGCTTCCGGCCTCTCCGCAGCAGAATGGGGTTGCTGAGCGTCGCATTGGCTTAGTCATGGAGGTCGCTCGTACCTCTATGATCCATGCGGCTGCCCCCCATTTTTTGTGGTCGTTTGCGGTCCGCTACGCTGCGCATCAGCTCAACCTCTGGCCCCGTGTCTCCTTGCCGGAGACCTCGCCGACACTGCGTTGGACGGGAGAGGTTGGCGATGCGTCGGTGTTCAGGGTCTGGGGATGTCGAGCCTTTGTCCACGATACGTCCGCGGACAAGCTCTCCTCCCGCGCCGTTCCCTGTGTCTTCCTTGGCTTCCCCCCTGACGCGCCTCGCTGGCAGTTTTACCACCCCACCTCGCGCCGTGTCCTGCCCTCTTAGGACGTCACGTTTGACGAGTCGGTTCCCTTTTACCGTCTCTTCCCCTAACGCACTGCCCCTCTCCCTCCCCCGCCACTCTTCCTCGCACCAGGTCCTCCTCCTGTAGACCCCCTCCCCCCTCAGGGTCCTACTCCCTCAGGTGTGTCCCAGGTAGACCCTATCGAGCCTGTCGAGGTTGCTGTCGACTCTGGTGCTGCTAGGGGTACTGCGTCTGGAGGTGCTGAGCCTGCGGGTGCGAGACCTGGGGGTGCTGAGCGTGAGCGTGCGGAGCGTGGGGGTGCTGAGCGTGAGCGTGCGGAGCCTGGGGGTGCTGAGCCTGAGCGTGCAGAGCCTGGGGGTGCTGAGCCTGAGTGTGCTGCGCCTGGAGGAACTTTGTCTTCTGGAGGTCCTCCGGGTGTCTTGTCACGGCGGGAGAGACTCTCTCCACCGCAGCTGCACGAGTGGTTTGCTCGGCGCTGGAGACTTCAGAGTGGCACTGCTGGAGCCGAAGGTGCTGCAGGTGCTGGAGGTGCTGTTGGAGCTGGTGCTGCTGGAGGTGCTGGTGCGCTGGTCCCGGAGGTGCTCGTACTGGAGGTACTGGAGCTGCTGGAGCTGGAGCTGTTGGAGGTGCTGGAGCCGCTGGTCCCGGAGGTACTTGTACTGGAGGTACTGGAGCTGCTGGAGCTGGGGGTGCTGCTGGAACTGGAGCTGCTGGAGGTAGTGGAGCTGCTGGAGCCGCTGGTCCCGGAGGTGCTCGTACTGGAGGTACTGGAGCTGCCGGCGCTGGGAGTGCTGCTGGAGCTGGAGCCGGAGGTGCTGCTGGAGCTGGAGCTGCTGGTGCTGTCGGTGCTGGTTCTGGAGGTACTGTGCGGCAGCGACCGCACTTCGTTCCTCTGCTTTAGCAGGTTCTTGGTCTCCCTCCTTCTACTGGCCTTACTCCTTCCTTACTGTGTCCACCGCCTGACCAGTCCTAGGCGCAGTTTCAGCCAGCCTCCCCGCTGCCTGCTCCGTCTCCTTACACTGAGCAGCCCGGAGGTCTTACAGAGCGTCGTGAGCCTGCGTCTCGTCCTGTGTCGCCTGTTCGCGCTGTTCGCACTGGTCGTCGTGTTCCGCGTCAGCGTCCTCCTCCTGTCCCCGGCACACACTAGATGGCACTTCGTCCTTTCTCTGTTCCACTGCGTGTCCCTCTGTCGTCTCCTCCTGCGTCCTCCCTTGCTGACGGTCCGGACCCGGAGTCTGACTCCCTTCGTGCCGCTAGTCCTACTGTCACGCGTCTCCTGGCCACTGTTGTCACTGACCCTTCCTTTGAGTCCACTGCTGCGTCTGCCTTAGTTGCTGAGCAGGTCGACTTTGCTGCTCGATGTCGTCTAGACTACGCCGCTATCCTTGTTGCTGAGTCTGAGTCTGTCTGTCCTCCGTCCGTCGGGGGTGAGTGTGCTCTTGGCACGGACGTCCTTGAGGACAGGCAGGAGGAGTTTGAGTGATTTGCCGCTGCTTTACCTCATCTCGTGTCCATGCTGATTGCACCTAAGGGAGACCCGGATGTACCAGACATCCCGACCCCGCGCTCTTACGCAGAGGCAATAGAGGGTCCCTACTCCTCTCAGTGGCAGTCAGCCATGGACGCAGAGATGGCATCCTGGAAGTCCACAGGCACTTACGTCGACGAGGTTCCCCCTCTTGGGGCGAACATCGTCAGTGGCATGTGGATTTTCAGGGTGAAGCGGCCGCCGGGTTCTCCGCCTGTCTTCAAGGCGCGTTACGTTGCTCGAGGCTTCAGTCAGCGACAGGGAGTTGACTTCTTCCAGACCTTCTCCCCGACCCTGAAGATGACCACTCTTCGGGTTTTGCTGCACGTCGCTGCTCAGCGTGACTACGAGCTTCACTCTCTTGACTTCAGCACTACTTTCCTACAGGGCAGCCTGCACGAGGAGATATGGCAGCGCCGCCCACCTGGCTTCACTGGGTCGTTTCCTCCTGGTACCCAGTGGAGCCTCCGGCGGCCAGTCTAGGGTCTCCGCCAGGTGCCTCGCAAGTGGCACGACACACTAAGGACGACTCTTGCGGCACTTGGCTGTGCTCCCTCTACTGCTAAACCCGTCGCTGTTTCTACGCACCGACACTTCTCTGCCGCCGTTCTACATCCTCGTGTACGTCGACGACTTGGTTTTTGCCTCTGCTGAAACTGAGGCAGTGACTCTAGTGAAGTCAGAGTTGCAGAAGAGACACACGTGCACAAACCTGGGTGAGTTGCGCAGCTATCTTGGCTTGCAGATCACCCAGGACAGAGCACGGCGCACCATTACCTTGACTCAGTCACACATGGTGCAGCAGGTCCTTCAGCGCTTCGACTTCCAGTACTCCTCGCCATAGTCCACCCCTCTGCCTACAGGTCACTCTCTCTCAGCTCTGCCTTCGGATGAGTCAGTAGAGCCGAGTGGCCCGTGTCCAGAGCTTGTGGGCTGCCTCATGTACCTGATGACCTGCACTCGACCTGACCTTGCTTACCCTCTTAGCATCCTGGCACGCTACGTTGCGCCCGAGAGACACTGACCAGAGCACTGGAACCCTATTTGCTGACCGACCTGGGAGAGCCGCCTCGTTCTCCTCCTGTTCTGTACGTCGACAACAAGGCCATGATTGCCTTGTGTCAGGAGCACAGACTGGAGCATAGAACGAAGCACATCGCTCTGCGCTACTTCCTTGCTCGAGAGTTGCAGCAGCGTGGTCAGCTTCGTCTTGTTTACGTGGCCTCTCAGGCCAACACTTCTGATATGTTCACCAAGGCACTTCAGCCTTGTGATCATCAGAGTTTCTGTTCTGTTCTAGGCCTTGTGCCTACTTTTCCTCACTTGCTCACTTCTTGACTTTGCCTGTACTGTGATCTATATACATATACATGTATGCTTACACTTGCTAGGTTGTGATCACCGTATTGCTTGTTCTCCTATATGTATATATAACTCTGCATGTGAACTGGCCTTGTGGCCATTTGCGTGTGCTCAGACTGTGTGGTGACTTTTTTATCCACCCTGAGCTTGCTTTGCTTTCTTGACCGGTCTTGTGACCTCTTGTTCTCCCCCACTTTGCCTATGGGGGTGTGTCAAACTTATATGTTGCTAATTGTGTAGTGGGTAGCCCATATGGGTTACAACCCAATTAGGGTTAGCACTTGTACCCATCCTGTTGTTAGTCATTCCATTCTCGTTCGTTATTTCTGACATGACAGTGCCGATTCATGCAGTCGACCACACCCATCTGAACAAGGAGGGCTCAACGGTAGATAGTCCCATACTGCTTAGCGGGAAAATCCACCCAGACTTACTCTTTGTAGACAGGGAGCCTAGCCATAATTTAATAAATGCTGCCACTGCACGGAGACTTAAATAGACACTAGACCAGTGCTTACTGTCAAACTTGTATGCAGCTGATTGTGTAGGCTGTCGTGGGGTAGCCCATATGGGGTACAACCCAGTTAGGGTTAGCTACTTGTACCCATCCTGCTGCTAGTTGATCCATCCCTCTTCACTATTCTGATATGGTATCAGAGCAGGTCCTAGCCTAGGACCGATTTGCTTAGGGCCCACCAAGTAGCGC